TATCTAGTATCATCAAGTTGAAGATTCTGACTCTGGGTGACACCATGTGTTAAAAAGTAGAGCAACTACATAGGGTTTTTCTGGCTTTAATCCTTGCTTAGGAAGCTCTTGTGGTCTAGTCTATAGGAAGTCACACTGCTAACCCAAAAGAAATGGCTTACTTGTAGTGCAAATCATTCAGGAGCTATACAGGCAAAAGATATTATCTTCTGCTATTTACAGACTCTGAAAGTCCACTGGAGGGTCAGTATGACTTGGATTTTATTCATTGGCAGTGAATAAGTCGAGTTATTCTTTACCTAAGCAGACTGCTTTGGGAATGTTGTTAAGAGGGGCCAGTCCTTGCAGAAAGACCTCGTGAGGGGGAAGATAGAGAGTAAGAGAAAGAGAGCACCCTCAACAAGATGGAGTGTCTCAGTGATAGTAACAGTGGGCTAACAACATCAGAGTTCATGAGAATGAAGCAAGATAGGGCAAGACCTTGATCTGTTGTTACAGGATGGCTATGAGTCAGTCAGTTTGACAGCATGCAACAAAAACTACAAGAAACGGAATACATTGATCTCTCTCTTCTCTTTTCTTTCTCTCTCTCTCCCCATCTTCTCCCCCCCCCCCGTGTGTGTGTGTGTGTGTGTGTGTGTGTGATTACTGTGTGTTTGAACATCTGTCAGGTTAGAAATCCAACACAAACCATTTATGCCACATAGTATTTAGGGACATTTTGACTACAAGTCATCCTTGCTGTAAGAAATTTACTCTGATTTCCTCATTAAGCTTACTTCTGCTCCAAATTGCATTTAGCACTAGATATAAATAAGGATAATTTCTACTTCTTAGTTTAAAAAAATGAGAGTTTTTAAATTCTTTGAGAGTGCCCAAAAATAGTTGGCATTGACTTTCCTAGTCTGTTTATTACAACCTGGTATTTCAGTTCTTATACATATATCATAGTGTAGTATCTTAGAGTGTAGATTATTAAGTGCAATGTATACTTCTAGGATCAGTACTCCAAATCCCTTCTTTCTAGCCATATGATTTTCAACAAGAAATTTAATCTTGAGTCCCAGTTTCCATAAATCTGTAAGGAAGAATAACACAATGCTGTGAGGACGTCATTATTAAATGGAAAGTACTCAGTCTTGTTAGGTGACTTTGAATTTATTCTACCACATAGCGAACCTCTTCACAATAGAAGGAACATTATCAGACCAGGCACCATCCTCACTGCTTCTGTTGAGCATAACCTATTATTGTAGTCACTGTGTCAAGACTTCTTACTGAAGGCCTTCCCCCTTTATTGTTAACCCTCTATTAAACATGATCACCTTTCTCAGAGATTGGTCCCTACTGAGAAAATGTCTAAAGCAGATGAGATTAAGTCTCACCTTCCTTACTTTAAAGGTGCTTCTCAGCTACACCTCTTCCAAGATTTAAAATCTTTACTTTAGTAAGTTCGTAGTATATTTAACTTTCACTGCCAATGCCTTGGGCATGTAGTAAACATTCAGTAATTAAAATGGACTTGAACTTGTGATGTGTTCCTATTTCATTTACTACATTTTAGACTACAGCCTCTGGAAAATCACTGAAAGGTTAGCTATGTGTTGGTTTCGACTTAATGGCAATGAGTTGAGCATGAATTTGAAATAGTGCTAAATATAGATCTCCGGTGGGTAGTCTACAAGGTATTGCTTCTAAAGGTATCCCGTTTCTAGTGATTCAAATTGACCAGTAACTCCTGAGACGAAGGATGGACAATTTCCTCCCTTGCAATTTAGAGTCTACAATAAATTACTGGAGAATCAGTTATGAGTTGATTCCAACTTGATGGCAATGAGAGAAAAATATAAACAGACACATTTACATGGGAGGAGTATTTTTTTAATTTAAATAGAAACTAAAACTTAGAGATTAAATGAATGAAATGAAAAAAGGGAGTTGGCATTTTGTGGTTGTCTGATTCGTATTAGTTGAATCCTGTTCAAGATTTTAATAATATTAACAAAATAACACTGATTATTACATTCTTTGTTGTAGATCTTCTTCATCTATGATGTGTTGGTCACATAATTACTTTAATCATAAACTAATAGTAATAACATACCTCTGATTACTTACAAGTAAAATTCTCTATCTAATCTGTTCATTCTCTTCTTCTTGTGCAACCTTTCCTTGGTACCAGCGGCTGCTTCTAAGAATAAAGTAAAAGGTGAGCCTCTTACCACTTTGCATGATTTTCTGAGGTTTCTTTTTCTCCTCAATCTTCAAAATCCTCTTAAATAATCAGTTTTGCTTGTATTATTGGTTCAGTTTATAGGTATTTTTATATGTTATAATAAAAATTTGTTTTGTTTCACTTATCCATTTCTGAAAGATAAGTTTGTGTTTGCATGGTTGTTTAATGAAAGATTTGTTATTTGTCTATTTGCTTCTTTTCTTTCCCACCTTATTTCAAAATGGAATCAAGTGTTGTGTACATTAGCATTTTGTCTTGGTTTTCTTGACATAATTCAAAATTAGAAAAAATGCAGAAGAAAACTAATGGGAAATTAACAAATTGAATAGGTCTTCAAATGAAAAGTAAATTGATCCCTTAAAAAATTTAATATTGTAAACTATAGTTTTTAATGCATGACCTTTCTTCTGTTTCCTGGATGTATTAAGTTTGCATTCCTTAGAATTTTAAAAACATATATTCATGAGAGCATGCACTTGTACAATACTTGAATGTCTTGCTGAATAGCAAACATTTTGTATTTGATACATTTGTGGGGATTTTAATGTTTTTTGAACAGTTTTATTATAAGTAGGTTGACCTATCTTTGGATTATAGTTTATGTGTTTCAATTTTACATTGCCTAGCAACTAATCGTATACAAGAAGACTTGGCGATCTAATAGTGAAGTACTTGGTTCCTTACAGAAAAGTTGAACCCATAGGTTGCGCTATAAGAGAAAAGACCCAGTGATATTCTGTACAGAGGACAATGTAGAAAACTATGAGTCAGTTCTACTTTGTCACATAGGGTGGTGATGTGTTGAAATTAACTCAAAAGTGATCTTTGATGACCTAGTGAATTAGGAGTTGCGCTGACAACTCTAAAGCCAGAAGTTCTAATCCAGCATCTCCTTTATAGAGAAAAACTGGCAATCCCCTCACGTAATTTACAGAAACCCCACTGTTGGATCAGCTATGAGTTAAGAATTAGCGTGTACTTACTGCAAAAACATTTTGTGTGCTTAATACATTCATTGTTGTTATATACATCGATTCTGAAGTAACTCATAGCTGACTTTCCAGTAGGTTTTCAGAGGCAATAAATTGTTCAGGAGAAGATTTCTCATCTTTCTTGCAGAATCAGTGGTGGATTTAAACTGAATACCATTGGAATGATAGTGAAATTCCTTACCACTAAGTCACCAGAGTTCCCTTTAATACATTGATAGAGCAGTTTAAAAATGTATGCAACATACATATGTTGATGAATACATAAGCATAATATATTTCTGTAATAATTGGGTTAAAGGGATGGGTGGATTAAAACCATGTGTACAACAAACTGAATCCACTCTATCAAACTTATTTCAACCCATGATAATCCTCCATGGAGTCCTAAATTGTGAATCTTAAGGAAGAATACTGCTTCATGTTTGAATAGTTGCAGAATATATAACATGGTTATAAAGTGAATTAGAAACATAGATGCTTATGGCCATGGAATACTTAGAAAATTCTATATGTGAGAAGTGGAGTTTGAATTGATTTTTATACAGTGTAAAAGCTACAGGTACAAAGTATTAGAAAGCACGGTTAAAGTTATAGAAATAAGAGTATTAGTAAACGTAATGAAAGTTATGGAAGCAGTTTGCAGGACGATGTGTTTCAAAGATATGAGAACATATTTTGAGTGAAGTCTCATGTTTTTATAAGAGAAAGGTGGAAACAAATCTCCCAATGAAGCAATGGGCAATGAAGTGATCATCTGTTATTATTGCATTTGAGCACATAAAATTCCAGAATTAAACACATCTAAATTCATTCAATAATTATTTAAAATAAGGATCATCCAAGGTGTAAAATGCAGGTAAGGAAGTATTAAGGCCAGAAAAAACTATTTCACCCTTGGAGGATTACAGTCATAATTTAATTTAAAGTTATCTGTCAAGTCACATCAGAGCTCAAGCTGGGTAGACATCTTCAAAGAAAATACATTTCTGTGGCTAATTTAATGTTTGCCACATGTCCATCCCAACTGTTTCTCACCTATCCAGTTATTGATTTCTTCTGTGAACGTGCACACACACCCCTGAGGGTTGAGGGAAGGCATTAAAGCTTGTTTTACCCTATGTCTATTCATTTACATCCACAAAAAACAGGACATTTCCTAAGAAAATGAAATGTACCTCTTCAGTTAAGAAGTAAACTTTTATTCCTCACTGTTAATAAACACACACACACACACACACACACACACACAACACAACACACACACAAGTATATAATTGTTACTGTTATGTGCTATCAAGTCGCCTGCGACTGATAATGACCCTATGTACAGCAGCTCTGAACCCTACCCTGTCCTGAGCCAAACTCACTTATTCTGACACACCAACCTCCATTACTCCAGTCATTGTATCAATCCATCTTATCCACAGGCATCCTCTCTTGTGCTGTCCTTCCACCCTTCTAAGCATAATGTCCTTCTCCTGGCCATGTGCCCAAAGTATGTGAGACAGAGCTTTGAAATCCTAGCCTCTAAGGAGAAACTTGGTTTCATACTCTCCAAGACAAGTTTGTCTTGTTTTCTTGACAGTCCATTGTATGTTGACGATTTCTCCAGAACCACAACTTGAGTGCATTGATTCTTTGTGTGTGTGTGTGTGTGTGTGACTTTTGCACAATCAACAATTTATTAACTTCAAATACGTTTTATAAAAAACATAAATGCAGGTTATACACATGGATTTCACCTGATGGTATACATAGGAATCAGATTGATTACAGCTGTGGAAAGAACCACTGGAGACGCTCAATATCAGCTGTGAAAACTAGGCCAGGTGCTGATTGTGGAACACCATCAACTACTCATAAGCAAGTTCAAGCTGAAGCTAAGTAAAATTAAATCAAATCCACAGGAACCAATATATGACCTTGAGTCTATCCCACCTGAATTTCAAATATCCCGGGAACAGGTTTGAGACCAAAGACCAGATAAGTTGTGGGATGATATAAAGAATATCATCCAGGAAGAGTGCAAAGAAGGCATTGACTCTTCTTCTGTCATCCTTAGTCATTGTCCGGTTCTCTGAAGCATAACAAGTAATTGTGAAAACCATGGCCTAGATTTGGTATACCTTAGTCTCTAGACTGACATCATTGCTTTTCATCACTCTGTAGAGGTCCCTGACAGCAGATTTTCCCAAAACAATTTATCTTTTTATTTCCTGACTGCTAGTATTAAAAGTGTTAATTGTGGAGCTGACCTAGCTGTAATTGTTAACTTCAGTCTCTTCTCCATCTATTATGGTGCTGCCAATTGACCCAGTGGTGAGAATCTTTGTCTTCTTAATCTTGAGCTTCAATCCATATTGAAGTCTACAGTCCTTGACCTTCTGCAGCAAGCGCTTCAGATTTTCTTCAGTTTCAGCAAGGAAGGTTGTGTCATCTGCATATCATACGTTGTTGATGAGTCTTGATGCCACATTCCTCCTCATAAAGCCCTGCTTCCTGAATGATCTAGTGTTGCAGTCCAAAGGGAAAGTATTTTTATAGTTATTAATAATGAGACACACAGCCAGGGATGAGATAGAACAGAGAGCATAAAACAGGGGGCCAGCAGTTCTCCACTGAAGACCCTCTTTCCAGCTACCCTGCATCTTTATTGAAAATTACCAGGAAGTAAATCACAAAGAGAATTCAATGGAAATAAAGCTAAACTCTTTCTATTGAAAATCTTCCCCTTGGCTCAGGAGGGAAGAGTCAGCAAATGCTAGAATCTGGTAAACCCTTAAGAATTGCCTTAGTGCCTCAAGGTGAATTCTATCCTGAACCTCCCCCACATCTTATAATAGCTTTCATCAGTTTATTACAAGTATTTAGTATTGGCTTCCCATAATCTAGTCTGCATACAGATTAGTATGGAACAGGATTCATCCCTGACACAATCCTTGCCTGATTTTGAACCATGCATGGTTTCCCTGCTCTGTTCTGAGAAATGCTTCCTGGTCCAAGTATAGGTTTCACATAAGCACAATCAAGTGTTCTGGGATTCCCATTACATAAAGGTTAGAAACAATTTGTCTTGATCCACACAGTCAAATGCCTTTGCAGAGTCAATGAAACCCAGATAGACATTATTCTGGTACTATTTACTTTCTGCCAAGATCCTTCTGACATTGGCAATAATGTCTCTAGTACCACGACCTCTTCTAAACCCAGTTTGTATTTCTGCTATTTGTCTTTCAATGTACTGTTCCAGTCATTTCTGAATAATATATCTATCTATATCTATATCTATATCTATATCTATATCTATATCTGATCTATATCTAATCTATATCTGTATCTGTATCTGTATCTATATCTGTATCTGTATCTGTATCTGTATCTATATCTATCTATATCTCTCTATAGCTATAGCTATATATCTATCTCTATCTCTATCTCTAGCTATATCATCTTTATCTATATC